GCGGGGGGGGGGGGGGGGGGGGGTGGTTCCACCTTGCCGGGAGGAAGGGTCTGATTTTGTTCAGTATGGCCAGTGGGGCCCTGGAGCCTGGCGAGGCGCCCTTGTGTCTGCTGCCAGACATTTTCCAAGACCCGGAAATACACAGTCACCATGGGACTCAGAGGGGAGAAACGGCTGGCCAAGTGAGCAGCATCGTCATGTGGAGGGATGAAAACAAAGGGCACTTTCAGTTTTCACAGAGAACCTGGCATCAACCAAAGAGGACGTGGTTGTCCTGGTAACAGCTGCCATGGAAACAGGAGCTATTTTGGAGCCTCAACCTGGCTTTCATTGGAGGAAAATGCTGATTCAGATGACAACATCCCTCACTCCCTTCCCCATCCTCAATCCCCCCAGGGGCCCCCTTCCCTTCCCTGCTGTCCTGCTCACAAGGGAGGACCAGACCACATCCTGCCCGGGCCTCTCTCCATTGGACAGGGGGAAGGCAGAGTCACTGTAAGCTGGGGGTGGTCCTGGTGGCTCCAGGCAGGGGGCTGGGACCCTCCTCTGGGACCTGGCTGGGTGGGGCATGGGGTCAGCCAGTCGTGGGTCTCGCATCGCTGGAGGGTGAACTTTGACCTACCTTCCAGTCTGTGTCCACAGCCAAGAGGAAAGCATCGGAGTTCTCCTATGGGAAGTCAAAAGGAGAGGGTGACATGTCAGTCCCCAGCAGGCCTGGGGGGCCCATGGGGCTCTGACTTGAGCAGATTCCATTTCTGTTCCCCAGTCTACCTTAATGTGAACAGAAGTGACCAAAGACTTGCCCAGTGCCAGGTATCTGGCTGTCAAATACTGGACAGATACTAAGCTTATTCACTTCAGATGTGAAGATTTCCATTTTACAGGTGAGAAGGGCGAGGCTCAGAGAGTCTGAGTCAGAGGGCTAGAAAGTGGTAGAATCCCTGATTCCAGGTCCTTGCTATTGGTCACTTTGCCCTTCTGCTCTGGTAGGATTTTTTTTTTTCTTTTTAAATATAAAGATGTTTTGCTCTGTTGCCCAGGCTGGAGTGGAGTGGCACAATCTTAGCTCACTGCAGCCTTGAGTTCTTGGGTTCAAGCAATCTTCCTATTTCAATCTCCCAAGTAGAAAAGATTACAGATTTGAGCCACTGTGCCTGGCTATTTTTTTTTTAATTATTTTATTTTATTTTTTATTTTTTATTTATTTTTATTTTTTGCACTGGAGTGCAGTGGCACGCTCACGGCCACAAGAGCCTTGACCTGCTGTGCTCAGGCGAACCTTCCACCTCAACCTTCCAAGTAGCTGCAACGACAGACAGGCACCACCATGTCCAGCAGCTTTGTTGATTTACTGTAGAGACAAGGTCCCGCCATGTTGCCCGGGCTGGTCTCGAACCTGTGGGTTCAGGCAATCCTCTCGCCTCAGCTTCCCAAAGTGCTGGGATTATAAGCGTGAGCCACCGCGCCTGGCTTAAAAAATTATTTTAGAGAGGAGGGTTTCACCATTGTTGCGTAGACTGGTCTCGAACTGCCGGCTCAAGTGATCCTCCTGCCTCAGTCTCCCAGCCCCCAGACATTTTTCATGGTCTGACCATGAGGGCACAAGGACAGAGGCAGGGGAGGGAGGGAGAGGTGGGTATGACCATCACACCCCCTTAAGAGCCAGTGAAGCTGAGGCCCACACATTGAGGAGGAATGAGGAACCTTTTTTTTTTTTGTGAGTTGGAGTCTCACTCTGTCACCCAGACTGGAGTGTAGTGGCCGCTCCCGGCCACCGCAGCCTCGACCTGCTGGGCTCCGGCAATCCTTCCGCCTCAGCCTTCCAAGTAGCCGGAACTACAGGCGTGCGTTACCACGCCTGGCTGATTTTTTGATTTATTGTAGAGATGAGGTCTCGCTGCCCAGGCAGGTCTCGAACCTGCGGGCTCAGGCAATCCACTCACCTCAGCCTCCCAAAGGCGCGGGATTACAGGCTGAGCCACCGAGCCCGGCTCAAGGAACCTTTTTTAACCCATACAAAGGCACTGTGGTGGCAGCTGCTCCCCTCTTCCAGACATGCTGCTTTGCAATCTCCTGTCACCAGGGCTCACTTCACACGGAACAATGCACACTTGGGTTAGTGCTTGTTCTACCCACTGGGTGGCAGGTGCCTCGAGGGCAGGGCCCCGTGGGGCTGTGCTCTCTCCACTCAGGTCTGAATGAACACGCTGCCTGCACAAATGAGGGGACCAAGGCTCAGAATGCAACATGGGTTACGAGGCTGCACGGATGGAGAGGGGTGAACCCTGTGTCTGAGTCGCCAGCTCTCCCTGAGACCCAGTGGCCCCCAGACACTCTGCGCTGAGGACTGGCCTGGCCGCGTGACTCGCCCTCTCTGGGTCCCCGGGAAAGAAACCTAGAGGGGACCGGCACATGTCCAGGTCAAGCACAACCCACAGGCCCTGCTTTGCCTTCCACTGCATCTGTCTAGAAACCTCTCTGCTCCCCTCTGCCAGGCTGTGGGTTCCGGGCAGGTGAGCCACAGTATGTGTGCGAGGATTAAATGAGAAGCAATGCTGCCTATCGCGCCACCCTGCATTCCTGCACTGGACTCCATGTGCTGTTGATCCCCCGCTTAGAAATGGGATGCTACGGAGGGGAACAAGAGAAGGAGTGGGCTACAGTGCACAAAGAAGAAACGACCCCAAATCACCTGAGTGGAAAGGAGAAGAATGGAACTGGCACTTCTGACGTTTTTCTCAAAATAAGGAGAAGTTCTGCCTGCATGCTGGTGGGCAGGGGTGGTGGAGGAAATCAGAGGGCACTAGGGCTTCCCATGCCTAACGAGGAGAGACAGGCCTTGGGCCGCCCGTGGCCAGCCCTCCCTTACTGGTTCACCCAAGGCCTGTGGGCTCTGCATGGGGGAGGGGGAAGAGGACAAGGGCTGGGGGCTGGTTATTGATGGATCCTATCACCCTGAGACCTTGCACATGGGGTGGGGGGCGGGAGATTTTATATATGCGAGACCTGAGGAGGGAATTATTTCAGAGGAGAAGGGGGAGGCAGTTCTACTGTAAAGTCGGAGAAAAAAGATGAGGCAGGCTGGGGGCATGGTGGCTCAAGTCTATAATCCCAGCACTCTAGGAGGCAGAGGTGAACGGACTGCTTGAATCCAAGATTGGAAACCAGTCTGGACAACATAGTGAGACCTCATCTCTACAAAAAATAAAAATAAAAAATGTCTAAATTAGCCAGGTGTGGTGGTGTGCAACTGTAGTCTCAGTCTCTAGGAATACTGAGGTGGAAGGAGCTCTTGAGCTCAGGAGGTCAAGGCTGCCATGAGCTGTTATCATGGTGATCGTGTCACTGAACTCCAGCCTGGGGAACAGAGACTCCGACTCAGAAAAAAAAATAAGATGAGGCAGATCATGGCGGTGTGTGCTGTGCACTCTCTAGGTACAGAGGGGCTCCAGGAGATGAAGAAGGAGGTACAGGACCAAAAAGCCAAGACACAGCAGGAAGAACAGCCAATTCGGGGGCCCCTGAGGTCCTGTGGGAGCTGAGTAAGCACCCAGAGGAAAACAGGCGGGAGGGAGGGCCCAGCCGAGAGGAGGTGGAAAGGCCCAGGAGTGATGTGTGGGAGACGGGAACGGGGGACACAGGCACTGGGAGAGCCAGAAGCAGTTCTCCCACGGACATGCCAGACATTCAAGTCTCCAAAGGCAAGCCAGTCCCCAGCAGCGGGTGGGTGACTTGTGGGTAAACGTGTGAACATATTCACTTCTCCCTGGACTCAAAGAATTTGCACCTGGCAAACCGCAGAAGATTTAAAAAGTGAAAACGGAGCTGGGTGTAGTGGCTCCTGATTATAATCCCAGCACTCTGGGAGGCTGCTTGAGCCCAGGAGTTTGAGGCTGCCATGAGTTCTAATCGTGTCACCGCACTCCAGGCTGGGAGAAAGAGCAAGACTCCATCTCTAAAAAATAAGTAAATAATAAAACCAAACACAAAAGTGAAAAAGGACAGACACTTGAAAAGGGAATTCTGCCTGTGAGAGTCCCAGCCCGCCAGAATAGCTCTTGAGGGCAGAGAGGGGGCAGGACGGCACCGAAGCGTCATGCTGCCAGCACCCAGGAGGTTGTTTGGGGTGTGGAGTTGGGGCTTTGAAGGCACCTTTGGAAAAAGCAGAAGTGTCCAGGCCCACAGCACGGGCTTTGTGGCGACTCAAGACAGGAGAGAAGCCTCCACGGGAGACTGAAACGCAGACCTTCACACAGGGGTGGGGACATCTTGGTGGTACATTCTGGTCCTGGCAGTGGGTGGGATGGAGTGAGACAGCAACTGTAGCGGAGCCAGGCCACCCGGTGGGAGGGGAGGGGAGGGCACGAGCAGGTGGGAGTGTGTTCACTGAGTCAGGGAGGGAGGGGCAGCAAGGGGCTGGGCCAGACTGGGCAGAGAAGGGTACAGGGCGTCTCTCCGGGTGGGGGGATAGAAGAGACAGACAGAGGAGGGGTCAGGTCCAGATGCCCTCAGCTTTCCCCACCGTGCCTGGTCTGGGCCCTCAGCTCTAGCCACTGGGGGCTGGTCTGGGGCACAGAGGCATGCCTCCACCAGCAGGCAGCACCTCCTGTGGCCGTCCTGCAACCGGCACACTTGTGACAGGATGCAGGGGTCCCTGAGGGCCACCGACCGCCCTGTGAAAACTTCACAAGAGGGCTCTGCTCACATGCCTCAAGACACATGTGGGCGGGTATGGGGAGGAGGGACTTTTCAGAAAGTTCTCAGAAACTTCTTTCTTCTGAGCCATATCACAGTCTGGGGCTCCCACTCAACCCATGTCTTTGCTGAGGGCCTACTGTGTGCGGTGCTGGGTGCCAGGGAGACCTGGGTACAAAACAGAACTGATCTCTGCTCCAGGAGCCTGTGGTGGCAGGGCCAGAGCGTTTGGGGATAACAACGTAGATATGGTTTTTAATTTATTGTAGAGACAAGGTCTTGCCAAGTTGCCCAGGCTGGTCTCAAACCCTCGGGCTCAGGCAATCCTCTTGCCTCTGTCTCTCACGTCTGCTGGGATAACAGGTGTGAGCCACTGCACCAGGCCTTGGGATGAAAATATTAGACCCAGTGGTCAGAGAAGGCCTCTCCGAGGAGAGGGCATTTGAGCAGAGGCCTGAATTAAAACAAGGAGGGCATCAGTCACGTACATTTCTGGACTAGTGTATCCCGGGGATATGGTTGGCACATTCAAGGAGGCTGGAGAGGAATGAACCCAGGGAAGGCTTGGGAGACAGGGTACCCAAGTTCAGATCGCAGGGCCCCACCTCTGAGTGAGATGGCAGCGGGGAGGCTCATCAAGCAGAGAAGTGACATGATGCATTTTTAAAAGGGTTGTACGGAGAAAAGGCAAAACCAAAACGACCAGTGAGGAGGCTCCTGCAAGCAACCCATCCGTCGTCTGGGTGGGGAGACAGAAGAAGGGCCCCCACCTGGGAAAACTCTTCCTCCATCAGTCTCTTATCAGTCTTTTCGGGAGGTTTTAGCTCCCTGCCTCCCTGGACACCCATCTCCATGCAACCCCTTGGCAGCACTGTTTGGACTAGGGAGCGAGTGAGCTTAAGAATAAAAGGCCTTGGACTGCCTGAGCCTGCGGGTTCAAGGCCTGCCTGGGCAGCGAGACCTCATCTCTACAATAAATCAAAAGACCAGCCGGGCGTGGTAGCGCACGCCTGTAATTCCGGCTACTGGGAAGGCTGAGGCGGAAGGATTGCCGGAGCCCAGCAGCTCGAGGCTGCGGTGGCCGGGAGCGGCCACTGCACTCCAGTCTGGGCGACCGAGTGAGACTCCAACTCAAAAAAAAAAAAAAAAAGAATAAAAGGCCTTCAAAGCACGCAGCTCGCCAGCTCACCCCTGATAGCTGCCCTCACGGATCACAAGGCTTATCGGCTAGCTCAAGGCTTGGTTTTACGATTTAGATTGCATCCTTCTGGGGCAGGACTGTGGCCCCAGGTGTTTGGATCCCCCAGGGCCCTGGCTAGTCGCCGGGTCCCAAAACATGCTGCTCAGTGGTTCCTGGGCTCTCCTCCTTGTGGCAGGAGGTGGGGGAGGCAGGGCGGAAGGTTTGAGGGGAGGGGATCCCAGCTTCCCCATCTGTAAATGAGGGGACCTCGGCAGCATAATCAGCAAGGATCCCCAGGCCTCATGCCCAGGGACCCACTGAGTAGGGGACCCACACTTCTCCGTGCAAATTGTTTATGTCACAGTGTCCAGTACGGTGGCACCGGGAGAGAGGAAGAGGGAACATGGACAGGGTGTTGCTCCAACAAGGAAGCGTGGGGTGGATAACACTCTAACATCTGGTCCCTGACAGAGGGGCCTTTGGGATAAAATTATAACCTCTGAGTGCCTCTGTTTCACTGCCCCTGGCAGTGCTGTTGGTAGGACCTGTCCTGCTATAGCCCAGAGGCTTGTGAGGTAGACAAGGTCCCACAGATGGAGGAGCACTGTTTCCTGCTGGAGGCAGCATGACCCCTTGGGGCTCACGGGCCATCTAGAACCGGGGGATGAGTACAGCCTCATTCCCCACTAGCTGTGTGACCTTGGCCAAGTGGGTTCACCTTTCTGTAACTGTTTTCTCATCATTAAAATAGGGATAACTCTCCTGCGGCGCCTTCAACCTCAAAGGCAGCTGAAGGCACACTGAGGCAGACTGGGTCTCGGTCTCCTGGGCACGCAAGCCGCCTGGGAACTCTCCCAAGGCGGCGGCAGGGCTCCGCAGGGTGGTTGGCCCCGGGGAGGGTCAGCTCTCTACCACCGTCTGTGCTGCAGGAAAGGCGCGCGGCTTCCCCTTCTGGCCACAAGGTGGCGCGCTCGGCACCAGGACCTCGAAGGGGCGACTCACCAGCTCGGTTGCGTCCTGGCCCCGGAGCAGCGGCTTCTCCTCCGGGAATCGCAGCTCCTGCAGGCCTGCCATGGTCACGTCGTGGAGCAGGAGGCCTAGGGAAGGAGGGCGAGGTTGGGGCCTGCTGTCGTGGAGACGCCTGGGCCCTGTTCTGAATTTCTCGGGGGCGGGGGGAAAATGACAGCACACGCCAGAGCTGAGGGGAGCATCAGGGGCCATGCTGGCCCGTCCCCCGCGCCCTGAGCGCTTCCCCCAGAGCATCCAGGGCCCCAAGGTATCCGCAAGACCGGCCTGTATCCGCAAGACCGGCCTGTTTGGCTCAGGGGATGCCATTACATTAATAGTATTTACTCTTAAAAGTTAAAACAGGTTTCAAAAAAAATAAAAAATCAACACACGGTGATCCCTAAAACAAGCAAAATTCTGCATTTATTGGGAAGCCAGAGGAGCACATGTAGGGAGGCCAAACTAAAGCTCAGAAGCAGACAAAAGCCCCCTGTGCAGCTCTCCCAGTGTCCCAAGTGAACGGTGGCGTTTTAGAGGACAGAGAGGCTGGAGAGGAACAGAACTGGGGACTCCCCTGAGGGCTTGAAGGACAAGCCTGGTGATCATGGCCCTGGGAAGGAAAGAGGGGGATACCAGCGGTGTGGCAGAGTGGTGTTGAAGGACGGGTGCCAATCACAACAGGCCACTGGCAGCATGCATGGGTGTGTGTGTGCACGCACGCATGTGTGTGTAGGAGCCAGCCATGGCGGAAGGAAGACAGAGGGCCCAGACCTCATAACTCTTTTTTCCTTTTTTTAGAGAGACAGGGTCTTGCTCTGTTGCCTAGGTACTGTTGTAGCTCACTGCAGCCTCAAACTCCTGGCCTCAAGTGATCCTTCCACCTCGAACTCCCAAGTGCTGGGATTACAGGTGTGAGTCACTGCATCCAGCCAGCCCCACAATTCTTCAGGGACTGGCGCCACCATCCCTCACTTGGATTTCAGGATGACACAGATTAGAATGCACCCAGAGAAAAACTAGCCAAGGATATGATCTGGAAATTCATAAAAGAATTAAAATTGGCAAATAAATGCATGGAAAAATATTCAATCTCACTAGAAGTTAAATAAATTCAAATTAAAATATAGTGGTTTTTTTTTTTCCAATTGCATTGGCAAAGTGCAGTGTTAGCAAAGACGTACTGAAACTGGTACTTTCTTCGATTGCTTGTGGGTGTCTAAATGGATATATCTTTCTGGAGGGCAGGTTTGTAAATGAATTAAAATTATTTAAAAGATTCACAATTTTGGACTCAGCAATTCCTCTGCTGGAAGAAATTTCCTAAGGAAACCAGAGATAGCAACTAATGATTTACTTGCAAGAATGTTCACCCCAGTGCCATTTAAAATAGAGAAAAACTGGAGGAAAAAAATGACCACCAACAGGGCATTAGATAAATGGTGAGTCGATAACCAGTGAGAGATTATTTAATAAAATGAGAAAATGCCTATGTTATAGTAAATGGAAAAACAGTTAAAAAAGAAATACGCAATGCTATCCCATGTATGAGACATACAAATAGTCCTACGAAAAAAAAAGTATGGAAGGCTGCCCATGAAAAAGTTCACAGAGACTCTCCTCCTGGGTGGAGGACTGAATTTTGGGCTCTACAATCTGAAGTCAGGAAAAAAATCTTCCTAAAAAGTTATTTGGTTGAAGACCTGTAATAATTTCTTGTTCTTGCAAAGTATTTCACAGTTCACAAAGTATTTTCTTGTGCTATATTATTTTACCCTGACGGGAACTTAAGATGAGGAAACCAAGTTAATAAAAGAGGTTCCATTGCTTGCCCAGATAGGGCTAGGACTGGAACCCTAGTCCAGCGCTCAGTGCTTATTCTATAACACTGTGTCCGCCTAACCTGGAAGGATAGATTCCTTCCTTCCCCCCTTTCCTCCCTTCCCTCCTTCTTCCTTCCTTCCCTTTTCTTTCCTTCTTTTCCTCCCTTCCTCCATCCCTCCCTCTCTTTCCAACTCTATTTTGAACATTTTTACTTCTGAGCCACGATGGAAACAATATTTCTAGCCTCCCTTAAGGGTAAAGCCCTGAGACTTTCCCTTCTGCCCTGAAAGACTGACAGTGCCCACAGCTGGTCAGTCAGAAGATACCCACCCACCTCACCCCCTACCCTTGACTTCTCCCTAGGCTGGCCCAGTGACAGAAGATGACTCAAGGGCAAAGTGTCTCGGGTAGCAGAGCTGCTGTCATGAGACCTGGTGGCAGTTCTGGACTTTCCCTAGGTTTCCTTTTCTCCTTGAAGCAAGAAGCATCGGCCCTCGGGAGTCTTACAAGGATAGCGCCTTGTGAATGAGTGGAGGTGGAGGGCCCTGCTGGACTCTAGTTTGGGGTTCACAGGTGCTGCAGCTGGCCTGGGAGCTGCTGGTCACCTAGGTCCCATGGAAGTCCCAGCGAGGGCCGCAGAGCCTCCTGGGAGCTCTCAGCCTCTGCAGAGCAGGCCAGGCAAGGAGGCTCTTGCCTGCCCAGGTCCTGGGTCCCTGTACATCGTGCCACGCCAAAGCTCTGGTTCCCGGTGGTTTCCGAGGAAACTAGTTGACACAATGCAGATGGGCTGTATTTTTAGAAAGGCATCCTCTCTGCTCTCCCCCTCCTGTTTCCCTGCCATCTCTTCTGATGTGTGCACACCCATCCGTCCATCTGGGTGGGGAGACGGAAGAAGGGACCCCACCACGGAAAACTCTCCCTCCATTAGTCTCTTGTCAGTCTTTGAGGGTGGTTTTAACTGCCTGGCTCCCTGGACACCCATCTCAGTGCAACCCCTCGGGAGCACTGGGGTGTCCCCGCCCTCCCCCAGGCCTGTTATGAAACCACCCTGGAGACCATCTTCCCCAAGGACAATGCTATTAAAAGGGCTGAGAGTGGGCAGTGCAGGGACAGATGGCCTGTGGTGGAGGAAGTAGCAGGGAGGGGGGCAGGGAGAGACCTTATCATCCAGAGACCCAGTAATATCTCAGCCCATGGAAAAGAGCCCAGGGCTTGGCAGGGAGTTGCAGGGCTCCAGGACACAGAGGCCACAGCAGAGAAGTTCCTTCTGAAGAAAGTTTTGACTTTTTAAAAAAACAAGCAGCTAGGTGATACGTTACAAGAAAAAGAATCCTATTAACAAAGTAAATAGCAGGGGGCTGGTGGTCCCTAGGGGTCTATGAAGTAGGCAGTGATGGCTCTTTCTACCATTTTTCTTTCTCTTCTTTTTCTTCTTCTTCTCCCTCTCCCTCTCCCTCTGCCTTTCCTTCTCCTTCTTCTTTTTTTCTTTTTGTTATTTAAGAGATAAGGTTTTGCTATGTTGCTCAGATTAGTCGTGAACTCCTGGGCTCAGGCAATCCTCTTGTCTCAGCCTCCCAAAGTGCTGGGATTACAAGTGTGAGCCAGGGCGCCCAGCCCCGTTTTTCTTCTTGATCCCTTATTTCCTCATGGGAACAAGAAGCCAAAAACACCAAATGGGCCTGGGATGAATCCCAACCCTTCTATGTATCAGCATTAAGGCTGGGAGTCATCGAAACCAAGGCCAACAGTTCTGTCACTCACTGCCCAGCTGTCTTCTGGGTACATCATGTAAAGTCTCACTTATTTGCAAAATGGGAGCATTAGCCTTCCTCTGCCCACCTCAGAAAGGTCTGAAGAGCAACAGAGGCATACATATAAAATGGTTTTTTTTAAAAAAAGAGACAAGGTCTCGGTCTTTTGCCCAGACTGGTCTTGAACTCCTGGCCTCAAGTGATCCTCTTGTCTTGGCCTCTCAAAGTGCTGAGATGATAGGTGTGAGCCACTACACCTGGCCAAAATGGCTTTTAAATGGAAGATTTGTATACATATTTGAATGAAACAAAAATAACTTAACATAGGTGATCAAGGTCTTTCTAACCTTTCTCTGCCTACTTAAGACAACTCTGGAGTTTCTCTTTCTCCTGTTCCTGTTAGAGGGATTCAACCTGCTGGCAGAGAGGCTCAGCTAATGTACACAGGAAAGGAATGGGACAGAAGTGAGGGAGAGGAAACACAGCCCCTTTGGGTGAGGGACAGAGATGTATGAGACGTCCCTTGGGGTAAAAGAGCATTGGGGGGTGTTGAAAGGGGCTCCTGAGCTGGGCTAATATGGCTGGATTCTTTAAGAGAAATGGAGACCCCTGTCGCCAACGAATACAAACATTAACTCCAGATGGATTTTTTTAAAAAAAGAGGAACTGCATTTCATTTTAGCTCCTTCTCAGTGCTGATGTGTGCTTCTGTGAAGGTGATTCTATGCTGAAACCCAAGTCATGTGAACACTCAGATTTATCAGGGATAAAAATGTCAGTGATGACTATGGTTATTCCTCAAACTATCCAATATATTGATCAGCAGGAGTTACACATCCCACAGAAGAAGACAATTGTTGAATGTGGGGGAGCCACCCAGTGGTAGGGGACGGTAGGGGATATTTGGAAATACACAGGATTTGTGGTGGTCTCAGCGACTAGAGGGTGCCACCCCCATATCATGCCCAGGGGCCACGGGCGAGAAGGGGAAGCACTCCCCACCCAAAACACTGTGGCTGTCCCCGTGAGAAACATGGCAAGACATGCACAGAGTACGTGAGGAGTATATTCCAAAGAAGCCAGACAGATGAGCCAGGCCTACAGGACAGGGAGAGACAGAATGAGAAGAGCAGAGGCAGGTCTGTGGAATGGCTTGTGTTCTTTCAACTGCAAGCATGAAGGGGACCCTGACAGGTCAGAGTCAAGGTCAGGCCCAAGCTGCCTTGAGTATGCCCCACACCTGACAGTTATTAGGTCCCATGATTACGAGAAAAGCCTCAAACAAATGAAATCAGACACAACAGGACCCGGGCAGCTCCAACTTGGGGGAGGGGGATGCCAAGGGAGAGCCTGGGGGAGAGGTCTGCGCTGCAGGTAAAGAATGAGGTGACAAAGAGGGAGCATGTGACTCACATCCAAGTCTGTCCATCCAAACACCCTTCCAGACACTATCGGCCTGGTCCCCTCGTCTAGGGCAGGTGTCAGGGCTCAGTGATACATGGGGTACCCACTACCCAACACAGCACCAG